TCACTTGTTATATAAAACTAACGCTTGATTTTCTCTATTTCACTAGTCATTTAATGTACAATGAAGAGAGAGGACTAGTGGGAAGCATGTCTGGACGTGGGGCTGGTGGAAAGTCACTCATCTGAGCACCTACTCTCCTTTCACGTGTCCAGCTGTGAACGCTGCCCTCCACATGTGGCCCTGCAGCTGTTTGAGTGCTGTGGTCTTCCGGTCCAGAGACATCTGCCAGCGCACATTCTCTACCACAGCCTGGATCGTCTGCTGGAGGTCATCCACCCCATCCCCAAATGCCGTGGGGATCGGAACAGCACCGTCCAGGTGGGCATCTTCCTCAGCCTTTAAGTTAGAAAAACAAGAAGTTTGTTTCTTGCATATTGTTTTAAAGAACATTAAAAAGAACACTCCAAAGCCAGATAGATCAATTTTCTCCAACTATCATTGACTACAGAATTGCTACAAAAGATTCCTAAGAAAACAATCCCTAGGTGCAGTACTGTGTGCCTATAATCCTAGCTCTGTGGGAGCCTGAAGCAGGGAGACTGCAAGTTTGAAGCCAACCTGGCCAAGTCCATAAGAACCTGTCTCAAAAAAAAAAAAGATGCCGATAATCCTAGCACTTGGGAGGCTAAGGCAGGAGGATCACCATGAGTTCAAGGCCAGTCTGAACTACATAATGAGATCATGCCTAAAAAAAAAAGTTTGGGAAATAACAAGCCTCAGTGTTGTAAAATAAAAGTGTGATCTCTTAAAACCAAGATTATAGCTGGGCATGATGATGCATGCCTGTAATCCCAGTGCTCAAGAGGCTAAGGCAGGGGGATCATGGTAAATTCAAGGCCTGCCTGAGGCTACATAGTGAGTCTAGACCAGCCTGAATTATATAAAAAAGAAAAAAAAAACTACCAAGATTAAGATTATAATTCAAAAGTTTATATTATCTTTCTTAAGATTGCTGAAGCTGAAATTCAAATCAAAAGCCACGCTGTGTACGAGAAGAGAGAACACACACTTCATTTGTTGACTCACTTCTTAGGATCAAGGAACCAGAACTTCTTTCTTTCTTTCTTTCTTTCTTTCTTTCTTTCTTTCTTTCTTTTTTTCTTTCTTTCTTCCTTTCTTTCTATATTTAGTACAGGGTCTACAGGATCTCACTATATAGACTGAACTCAGAGTGATCCTCCTGTTTTCAGCCTCCCAAGTGCTGGGATTACAGTCTCACCACGCCCAGTCTCAGCTGTCTCAGCACCCCAGGGCAGGGATGACACAGCACTCTGGGGACAGGACCCCAGTCCCTGTCTGCCTAAGCAGGCACTTTAATCTGATGAGCTATCTGGCCAGCCCTCAGAACTTTATTTAAATCTGATCAAATTTTCAATTTATCAATTTCCCAATTTGTCAATTTATCAAATCTGATAAATTTTTCTCTGTACGATAACTGAAACAGAACATCTCATGAATTAGTTCGTAGCTGGAATTGAATGAAAAGAAGTTAACAGAGCCTTGCGTGGTGGCGCACACCTATGCTCTCCCAAGAGGCTGGGAAGAGGGATCACCTTGAGTTGGCCACCAAGGACTACACAGTGAGCTCAAGGCTAGGCTGGACTGTGTACATAGTATAACCCTGCCTCAGAAAAACAACAGGAAGCTGGTGAAGCAACAGGAATGGCTTACACACAGCCTTCTAGGATTTTCCACATCTTGTGAAAACTTAACACTTCAAACAATGACCTTATTACAATAAAATACAATCTCTAAGATTATACATCTTTAGGTAACAGAGGAATATGTATGTTTCAACAAGGGTTGAGATAAGTTTTTTTAAAAGACAGGAGGCTATTTCAGATTAATGCTGAATTAAGCAAAAAATACAAAACCTGACTTTGCATACAAGATGACAAGAGTGCTCTGAGATCCACTGTGAGAAAACTGCCTGCCAGTGGACTTGTAGTGTGTACCACAGGAGGACTTTGTCACTGTAGCAACTGTGATAAGAAAATCAAGAGATCAAGAACTCTAGAGCACACAATACGGGGGAAGACAGAAGAGACAAGGGGGTATGAGGCGTGGCGCTGAGCGAGGCGCATGCAACCAGGCGGGACTGCAGGCTGCGCCAGGTGTGAGCTGGGTGAGAGGACTGAAGGGGTGCAAGGCAAGGACCCAGGAGCACCCCTGTGAAGGACAGGGAGGGTCCCCACCACAAGACGGCAGGCTAGAGAAGGGCACAGTGCTGCCACTCCAAGATGTCAATGGAACCTGTTAAGACTGCAAAAGCCTTTTGAAGGGCTCAGTTTTACAACTACATGATCTTTTTGTGCAATGTAAACTACTCTCAAAAGAGACAATTCCACAGACCACAGACTGTACACACTGTGGATTTTCAAGCAGGCAAGTCACTGGACTTCTGCCCGCTGTGGATGCAGGGCACTGCTTCTCCCCTACACTCAGCGCGCGCTCTAGCCCTCCAGCCACCCTCCATCCGAAGACGCAGGCGAGTGGAGAAGCCCCCACCTGCTTCCTCAGAAGGCTCACGTCCTGCCGACACTCCTCCTCTTCCCAGTGTGTCTGCAGGTATTCCTGCACATTTTCTTTGATGTAAGGAAATAAAATGTCCTAGACAAGAGTAAAAAAAAAAAAAAAAAGAAGTTAGTTTTTGTTCACTGTCCAAGAGGTTCTTCTATAACCTCGTCGGAACTAGAACAAATACATTAATGGACTCTTAGTGAAAAGCACCCTACAGTGTTATGACTTGGACAGAGACTAGGAAACAATGAAAGAGGCTACACCCCAAAGGCAAACCTGGTCAGCCATCTGCTTCTGTTAACAAAGTTTTACTGGAACACAATCATACTTATTTATTACACAGTGTTTCAGGCTACTGTGGGAGCCACACTGGCAGAGCTGAAGATCTGGACAGAGACCACATGGCCTGCACAGCCTAAATAAAGTATCTACTGCCTTGGCCTTTACAGAAAAAGCCTACCGATTCCTGAACTACATGGCTACGCCACAGCCGCGTGAGGGCATAAGTGGGGTGTGTCTTGCTCCCGGCAGCACCCTGCTATACAGCACAGTACATAACTCAAACCTGGTGAGCCTAGGGTATCTGAGCATAACAGGTATTTCAGAAAACCCCGACAGAATCCGATCACCATAATCTGGTAATCAGACTACCTAGGGAGTAATGCTAAAAGAAAGTGGTATATAAAATAATTCACTAATAAGTAACTTGCCAGTAATTCATGTATTGGGAACATGATTTCCCTTTAGTTAAAATTTTATTTACTAATTTATTCATTGGGTGCTAAGGATTGAACCCAAGGCTTTTACAAATGCAATTCCAGCACTCAGGAGGCTGAGGCAGGAGGACTGCTACAAGTTTGAGGCCAGCCTGAACTACAGAGCAAGACCCTGTTCTTTGGTTAAAATATTTATATTTACTTAAATTCGGAGTATATACATCTTTTCAAATCAAATTATGATATATTAAACAAGTTTTTTGGTATCTGTATGTCCAAAGATGTATGAATCCTTGAGAAGGACGTGGAGAAATGGATTGAAAATATAAATCGCAATCCTTGTCCTGAAAGCCCACTACGGTGTTATGCAAGTCTAGGGTGTAGTGGCTCGGCAACACGTAGTATACTCTGAAAAAAAGAGATCAGAGAGGATTTCAGAAAATGGAAAGATATTCCTTGCTCCTGGATAGAAAAAACCAACACTGTGAAAACGGCCACAC